TTGTTATATTGAATTTATTTTGCGTTTTGAATATTGAGAGTTTGGTTTTTACAGTGAAAGTGATGTTTTGATGAATTTCATTTTCGGTCACATCCTTGAGGGGGACTAGGGCAAAATTTTTGAGAAAAAATGAAAGTCGTCGGGCGTCTTTGAAAAGCATATAGATCGACTCAGCTTTTTGGGCTGATTCCAAATATATCATTCTTTCTGATCAAAAGGCGGATTGGTCTTATAAAAAACCAAGCGAAACTGGACAAAAAATGCTGTTTTTGCCGGTTGTGACTATTGCAGACTGTATAACTATAAGGGCCAGACCAGAAATTACATGTATTCTATATCAGTTTGTAGCTCTTTCTTTCCTCTATCGAACGGTATATAAACGAGAGCGGCTCGCATGGACAAATCTTTAAAAGAGACCTAATTAATGTTAGATAGCATGTAATGCAGTTCTACTCAATACACTTCTCATCCTTTTATAGCCCTATTATAGTGCGTTCAAAATGACGGTTCTTATAGAGATCGATGCAGAATTGAATGCTCTTCCTGATGAAAATAGAATGAGCTTTCAATATTCCCGAAATCTTTTACGTTTCGATCAGATACTAAATGAGTACGACTATACCAAGAGCATACTAAGCACCCTCAATATTTCCATCTCAAAACGGCGTTCAATGTTGAAAGTTTTGCTTGGATTTAGTATAAAAAACCTCATCTCACTTTTCTAGAAAGAATTGCCAATAAATAGCCTATGAACTCTAAACCGTCCATTTTCCATTGCTTATACGCCCCCGTCCTTTATGAATTTATTAAAGAAAAATCTGAATAGCTTCAACAGATTATTTGAAAGTACCTATAACTGATACTTTTTATAGAAATTGTTTATTCATGAATAAAATTTAAATAGAAAAATACACGATTGAAAAAGAGAAGTTTATTACATACAAATAAAACAAAGTATTAATACGAATGATATACATGAAAACAAGATGAATATTGACAATGACAAATACATATAGGAATACATTAAAAAACATACATTTTTAAAGCTTCTATATGGGAAACAATGATCTATTGATATAAAAAGTGGTGAAAGTACACAACAAAACAACAGAAGTATTTTGATTTATTTCCAACTCATACTTTCAAAATATTAGTCAACTACTAATAGTACATAGCCTTTTGAATTTCTGCACTTACTTAACCTCTCCGTGTTTGCGATCCCAGGGAAGAATTTATGCCTAACATTTTACGACATTGTGCTATTCTGTTGGCAATTTCTTTAAAACGTCATTCTGCTCGACTTGCTACGGAAAAAAGGATATATTGGAATTTTGTGGATGTCAGATTATCTAACGTATTTTCATAATAGATAGCTTGTACAAATTTAATCTTTTTTGTCTATTGTTAACAACAGATTGCATACCTTTTAAATTTTGATAATTTTCAAGCATAGTTTTGGTACTTTCTAAATCTTCACTTCGAAAAATAATATTCAATTTATTATTATTATCTTGAATCAATTGATTAATATCATCTTTACAGTGTTTTAATTCTACTTCCAGAGCAATTCTCATCGTTTCCGGTAAGCACTTAACTGCCGATTCAAATCTTCTTATATGATTGTTTTCTAGATTCGGAGGCTCTTCTAATATAGCTTGTTTTAATTCTTCTCTAAGTTTAGTTACAATGATATTTTTTATTCTAATTAAAGCCTCATTATATAATGGATTTGTATGGTTGACTTGTGCGAATTTTGCAAAAATATCTGTTGGTGGATTTAAATAATAATCTCTAATATCCATATTTGAATACTTTTCAACAAGATCTTTTGATAGAACAATATATTGACTATGTTTCACTTCTTTGATAGAGTTCAAAACCTTTTCTGTACAATATTTTCCTAATAAATGACATACAACTGTTATTAAATCTAATTTTTCATCTACTTTACAGAAATCGTTGATATTAATGAGAGCTTTGACACCCTCTAGGAAGCGTATTATTTGCTCTTCAAGAAAATTTTTAACATCTATGACACATTTGTCTAATTCAGCTGGTTCATTAAGATGTTCTGAGACAGATTTTTGTGCTCTATAAATTCGTTTTAAATTTTCTACTATAGATTTTATTCCTTTTATTTCTATATTATTTCCAAGCATGATCGTTTGCGTTTTGGTTTCTTCCATCAAATCATTTAATCCATTATTAATCATTCGTTTAGCTTTTTGATAAAAATATTCTCCGATTTCATTTGATGAATGTAAAGTGACAATTTCAAAAGCAACTCGTTCATAATCAGTATTTCTAATAGCATCAATTATTTGTTTATGAGCATCGTTGACTTCGATGAAAAATATATTTTGATATTTATTGTAAATATCAATAAATTTTTCGCCTTTCAAAAATCTATCTAAAGTACTTAGAGCTTTCACGATTATTAGCTTATTGTTCAAAATATTAATTTGTTTTGTGATCGTTATTTTTTCCATTTCATCTGATAGTTCGATTAAATAATGACATAAATCGTTTTGCCATTGCTCAATAATTTTCTTATTTGAAAAACAAGAAAAAACACGAGAATATTTTGTTTTAATTTCAGATAATTCTTGTAAACGACTTGATAATATTTGAGCTTTCTCAAATATTTCTTTCTTATTTTCGTTTTGATAATATATTATACTTTTAAAATAACTTTTCATTTCTTGTTGAACATAATTACTAAAGTACCTTATAAATTCTTCCAAATCATTGACAACACATATACAATTACTCATAAATAATAAATATATTTTCTTACAAGCATCTAAATAATTAAGCCCTTTTTCAAGTTTATTAAAATCTAAAGATTGATATTTATGTTCTTTCCATTTTTCTATATTAAATGTATCTTTAATAATAACAAATATATTATTTGTGACGCCTTTAAACCAACTATTAATTTCATCTATGTCTCTAATTACATCAGGAACAAGTTTCTCCATACATTTTATCGCATTGATTTGTGATATTAATTTATATACATGTTCAATTTGATCATGATTCTCGAGATCTATTTTAATTTCCATAACAGCATCTTTCAGTTGTTTTACGTGTTGAATAATTTGTTCTTCAGCTTTATTTATTACATCTGAATATATTCCAGTTCGATATTTTTCTATCCATTCGACACGTTTTAGATTTAACAAAGATTTTCTAAGGTTATCATAATTAACTTTTTCTTCTCGTCGAAATAGAATTTTTAATAAATTCTCAACATCTCGTCTAGCTTCATATATATATCTAATTATTTTTTCCAAAATAATAGAATAAGATTTCGTTGTTTTTAACTCTATAGTAGAAATTTGTCTAATCGAATCTAATTCAATGAGAAATCGTTCTAATGAATGAAAAGCATTTTCATTTTCGAGTTCTATATTTATTTTTTTTACTATTTTTTCAAAGTAAATCAAGATATTCAATAAAAGATTTTCATAAATTTTATTAATTTCTTCTTTGGAAATGTGTGAATGAAGATCGAATGTATTCTTTGCATTTTCCAACATACATACACATTTATCTAGACTATCAATATCATATTTATCTAACTTCATTTGAGTAAATATAGGGTTTAATTTTCCTACGGAGTCATTTAAATAATTCAGAAAATATTCTTTAAGTTGCATATATTTGACTTTTATCTCTTTTTGATCTAAATGATCTTGTAAGACAGTTATTGCTCTATATAATTTTGTAATATGAATAGCACTTTGATCAAACTTATTAGATGAAACTGAAATTTTGAATAAATCAACAAGAGAATCAAGTTTTTCAATGAAAAATTGACAAATATCATCATATTTCTTAGAATCAATATCTGAAAAAACATTCGAAACAATCTTTAGTTTATCGAGACTCACTTTAATTGACATATCGTCAATATCTTTTTCTTTTAAATCTTTAAGTATCATATTTAATTGTTGCTTAAGATTTTCAATGAATGCTGTACTATCGACGACGTCCATTCCTAAATGATTTTCTCGTACTTCTTTTGCTAATTTAGCATGGTACATGCATGCTTGATATTGTCGAATATCCTCGGCATTCAAACTTGTCTGATTCATTAAATAACGTTTCATAGCTAAAATACCTTTTTCATACTCTTCGAAGAGATGTCTTCTTATATATCGAAGACATTCATTGTAAATTTGTTCAATATAGTCTTGACTAAATAGATCATTCAAATGTTTTAATTGATCAAGTCTATACTTTACAAAATCATAATCTGATCGCTCAGTTGCAGATCTAATATTCAATTGATGTTTTGTTATTTGTTCTCGTAAAATGGCTTTTGATTTTTTTGTGATAGAAAATTGAAAAACTTCTTCCGGATGATGAATAGCAGGAGATTTTGCGAGCTCGTCAAGGATCTTTCCAGGCTTGTCATTAATTGGATCTAAGACTCGTGCACATTTTCGTGTTTTCTTTAGGATATCTTTCAATAAAATCGTAAAACTTCTATCTGATTTTTCTTCTTCTTTCAAATTTTCATTGATATCATTTATTAATGCATGAATTGTATCTCGTTCTTTTTCAGGAAATTTTGTAAATATATAAGAGAAAGCTTCAATCTGATCTTGAATTCCTGGAATCAATGCCGATAGTACATACATTAGATCCTTCAGACCTTGCAATCTATCTCCAATGCTTTTATAACTTATTATCACAACTGGTTTAACACTTTTACATCCTTTTATACCATTAACAATACCTAATCCATTGGCAATATCTACTTCGGGTCCGCTAGTATCTTCAAATCCTGGACTATCACATAAGATAATACTCTCGCTTGTAAATCCACCTACGTCATCAAAGTTCACTTTAACAGATGTAATATATCGAGTTTCGGATCTAGCAAATGGTGAAGTTGTTATATATTTTAGATCTGGATTGTTTATTTCGACAAGTGAAAGATGATTTAAACCTGCTACTTTATTTTCAATCATTTTTGAGCCTGCAAGAAAATGAATTGTAGTCGATTTACCTGATCCAGTTCCTCCGAGAAAAAAAATAATATCCTTATTTTTTATTGTATGTGCTGTATTGTTGACTTTCTTAATAAGTCGAAATAATTCATGTATATTCAATGGACTGATTTTTTTGAAGATTTTTTTCATTGAAATCAAACTGTGTTTCCAATTTTCGTACTTTATATTTATAGAGATCTCTTCAAGTAAATTTCGAATTTCTTTAGACTCTAATTCTTCAATCTTTAATCGTTCTTTCAAATATTCGAATTCTTTTTGTACAATATTATTATCTAGAGCTATTGGATTACTAATTAATTTTAAAGAAAGATAATACAATAAACAAATTATGGATTTTTCTGAACAAGATGGCATTGAACGAAAATCCTTCTGCATGTTTCTTAGACTTTCTTCTGTTATTACAGATTTCTCATCGCTCCAACTACCACTTTGTTGTTCTACTTGGGGGATTTCTATTAATGATTTTGATTGATTCTGAAGTTTCATAGACGATGTTTGTACTAAGTATTGATTATTTTCATTATTACCTTCGGGGTTTTCGATTGTTTTGTCCTGTGAATCATTGATATTTGTCAATTGATATTCTTCAATTGCTTTTAATAAATTTCCAATAATTAATTCTGCATTTTTCTTTCTATTATCTTGTTTTTGAACGTTTCTTGCTTGTAAAATGATACCTGGGTAAACATCAGCAAATTGCTTTTGTAACTTGTTAACGTCTAAATTAGACGTCCCAAACGGATCAATAAATTCAGCTCGTTCAACTTGTCCATCGGCCTTGAATTTTATTAAAACTCCAATCCAATGAATATTAGACACTTTATAAGGAATGATAATAAAATATTCTCCATTTCGCTGTTCCTTTGCCTGTTGTAACCGTTGCTTCCATTCAGCATCCATATTATCATGAACAGTTGCTAACACATGAATCGGTTTTCGAAAATGTTCAGGATACTGCTGGCGTAGCTCTTTCAATTTATTTAATATATCATTCTCAATGTTTTCATGTTGATACAACCAGTTTACGGTTTCTGCTGGATTACTCATTGGTCAAGACACTCTTTCTTTGGGAAAAAGGAAAACAGAAAATCTTGAAAAGAAGTTAAAATTTCTAGACAAGTAATAAAATTATAGTAGATTTTCGTTAGTGATATGAAATATTAGAGCTCAAAGGTTTTCATGAACAAGCTTTTTCACAAAGATTCAATTAATGCCTTAAATTTGAAAAAGAGATTTTAGAAATTCTTAGTAAAATGGGAAGAACAATCTTAGAATGACTATAATTAAAAACAATACAGTAAAGAAAGGATGTGATTACATAAAATCAATTTTCCTCCTTCTATAATTCTTTCCGTAGATGAAAACTTAGAACAGTCAAGTTATTAGAAAAGTATCCGATTTAATCACGTGATTTTGTAGATTAATAGAAAAATTCGGAAACTTAATAAGAAAATGTCTTGCTAAACTTCACAAAAAAAAGCGAGAACATTTTCTGATCAATTTTATAAACTTTTGCTCTTTAAAACATGGGGTTTACAAGACCTATCATTTCATGAAATTTCTAACTTATTTGAGTGGAGAAAAAAAAAGTGACTCTACAGTTTAGCTGCTGATTGAATGTAGATAAATAGACATTGAGCACCTGATTCTCGTAGAGTATATAGCAATGCACAATGAAAAATATTTGGCGACAAAGCTTTTGTCTGTTAAATGTTCCTGCTATAACTCAACATCTTTTCAATCAATCATCATAATTCAATACTTACACAGTCAATCAATAAATCGATTGGTAAAATAATTGAAAATAATTTGTTGAAATATGATGAAATCGTCAGAAGAGTCAATAGTCGTACTTTATCTGAAATAAACAAGCATATCAATATTTCTAAGTCTGATATAGATTATATAGTTGATGTCACCTCTCAACTTATATTGTAAGAATAAACAAGAAAACTTTGATAATCACAAAAGGGAACAAAGTGGATCTTATGAGAAAAATTGAAGAGAAAAACTAATTTTATTAAATAAAAGCTGGAGTCATAGGTCGATCGTATAGAATACATTGTTGTAAGAAAAAAATGTCTTGAAATCTAAGAAAAAATGATGCTGATTTAATCTCTTACGTCTTGAAAGTCGCTAGACAACTTTGAAAGAAACAAGCAGATGCATACGTACCTTACCTTTTTTCTGCTTCTGTTACCTGCAAGAAATTTATGGTCAATAACGACTCGACTTTCACCTTTTACAAGATTTCTATTTATTTAGATAAAGAGAAACATGACATCATTCATTTTTGTTCTTGACAAAAACAAAGAGTAATACCGTTACTTTTCTCCTACTACCGAAGAATAACAATAATATCTTATATGTTTTACTTTGGTAAAATATAACAAAATCACATAACATTTTTGCATCATCGACATACAATTTCATTTCTTTCTATTCTATTGTTATGTCACGTACATAGTACGTGCCATAATATAAGTGTAGTAAAGGAATTTTCCATACATGCTCGTTCTCTTTCTTTCTGACCAGTATTTCCCAGAGTGCGTTCTCTTGGTTTATTCCTTAGTGTCTTTTCCTACTTCAATGTGATAACTTATGTATCTTTCTAACTATATTTTATTATCGGCATATTCATCGTCCTTCTAAGAACTGATATATATATATACCTATTGTTTTCTATGTAAGAGGGTTGGTGATTTAGGATTAAGATAAGAGAGTGCTTTTAGAAGGATTAGTTAGAATCAGTTATACTGATTAAGAATAAAGAAACCATATACACATCAACATTTTTATCATCGGACATAACATCTATTTCATTGATTATCTATTGATCTCTCTGCCTCTTCTCATTTTCAATTTGACTAGATAGCGATAACACAAAATGATAGTATTAGTAGAGTTGTCGTCACGTTCGTGATATTTAGACATGATCACAGCATTATATGTGGGTGTGGTCGAATAGAACATTAACACCCACATCCAGATCCACACGCTAGTATTTTCAAGGTTTCAGATTCAGCTTCAACAGCTCTATCAAACTGTGTATAAATAAAAAAGACTTTTATTTTTGCTTAATTTTTGCATTTGGTGAACCTTAAGTATTCTTACTCTCAGTCCGCTCATGATTTTCTATGGACAAAATAGAATGTTTATTTTCTTTTCTTGCATCGTTACCTGACAACCTTGTTCGAATTGTTCTTGATTGATGAAATATAATGCTTATTTTTCTTTTTATGCGTA